TCCATCCATCCATCCATCCATCCATCCATCAACCATCCATCCATCCATCATCCATTTGTGACGCCCTGATCCCCTTCAGATCTCTGCTTTCACAGCAAATTTCTGCTTTTGTGCATTGAGGAACCCCTTGGCTGCTCCAGGTTGCTGAAGGAGACTTTCCTGGTTCTCCCCTCTCCCACCCTTCCCAAGCCAGCTGGAATGTTCTGGCAGCTGGAACATCTCCCTGGGCGCTTCCCCTGCCTGTCCCCCTCCCCGTTCATCACGAGCCACCCAGCCACTGTCCCTGCAGCCATGTGGACCAGCTCCCCTGTCCTGGATTCCCAGCGTCCCAGCAGAGCCACACGTGGCCCCCATCAGCTTCGCTTCCCGGCTGGCTCCACATTCCCAGAGGGATCTCCTGCACCTCTCTCATGCAGGAGCCAAACCCAGGCTGAACCCTCCTGGATCCAGAGGCTCGGTGCTCCAGAAACCTTCGTGTCACACACGGAGCCCAGACATTCCATGGATCGCAGAGTCTGGGAGCAATTCCATTCCCACCTCCTCTCCCAGGCCGCCTGCGGCCGGCGAGGCCGAAGGGACACGGAGGGGACACAATTCCCAGAGGGGACAGAGGAGCTCCAGCGCCCTGGACTGCTCGGGTGATCCCGAGGCCTCTCCCTGCTCTGCTCCGGAGATCTCGGGGAGCAGCGAAGCCTCTGCTGGCTCGTGGTGCTTCAGAGCTCTGGAGGAAGGGGAAACCCTGTGGAATTCCAGTCCTGGATGAAACGTCATTCCCAGCAGGAGCCCCGAGGGAATTGGGATGTCTCCAGGCAGCGATGGAAGCACCTACTGGAATTTCTCTCGGCACCGTTCACAGCAAGCGCTAAAACGGGATGTTTCCTGATATTTAACAATATTCCAGACCATCCCCAACTGGGAGCACCTTCCCGCCTGCGCGCTCATCCTCACTGCAGGAATTCCATCCCATACCCATCCCTGCTCCTCACTGCTGGAATTCCATCCCTGCTCCTCACTGCTGGAATTCCATCCTGTGCCCATCCCTCCCCCTCACTGCTGGAATTCCATCCCGTGCCGATCCCTGCCACTGGAATTCCTGGCTCAGTGCCCTCCTCTGTGCCACTGGAATTCCATCCCGTGCCAATCCCTGCTTCTTGCTGCTGTAATTCCATCCTGTGCCCATCCCTCTTCTTTGCCGCTGGAATTCCTGATCCCTCCTCTTTGCCTCAGAATTCCCGATCCCTCCTCTTTGCCTCTGGAATTCCCGATCCCTCCTCTTTGCCCTGGAATTCCCGATCCCTCTTCTTTGCCTCAGAATTCCCAATCCCTCCTCTTTGCCCTGGAATTCCCGATCCCTCCTCTTTGCCCTGGAATTCCTGGTCCCTCTTCTTTGCCGCTGGAATTCCCGATCCCTCCTCTTTGCCTCAGAATTCCCAATCCCTCCCCTTTGCCTCAGAATTCCCAATCCCTCCTCTTTGCCCTGGAATTCCCGGTCCCTCCTCTTTGCCCTGGAATTCCCGATCCCTCCTCTTTGCCTCAGAATTCCCGATCCCTCCTCTTTGCCTCAGAATTCCCAATCCCTCCTTTTTGCCCTGGAATTCCCGATCCCTCCTCTTTGCCCTGGAATTCCCGGTCCCTCCTCTTTGCCCTGGAATTCCCAATCCCTCTTCTTTGCCTCAGAATTCCCAATCCCTCCTCTTTGCCCTGGAATTCCCAATCCCTCCTCTTTGCCCTGGCATTCCCGGTCCCTCCTCTTTGCCCTGGCATTCCCGGTCCCTCCTCTTTGCCCTGGCATTCCCGGCCCAGCGCCCTCCTCGCTGCCTGCCCATCCCGAAGGAAAGGCTCCATCCTTCCATGGAATCGCTTGGCTGCCGCTCCTGCTCTCCCCTGCTCACCCTCGGACAGCCGGGCCTGGCCGCCTCACCCGAGGGCAGAACCCCCAAAAACCCCAAAATTCGGGAGAGGGAGCACTGCAGAAACCTCTGCCAATCCCCTTCCCCAGAAAGTCCAAGGGCAGCCGGGCACTGCTGTAAATAGAATTTCTAGAGGAACGAAATAGCTCTTCTCTGACCTTCCCCTCGTGGTCGCACTTTGTACATTTAGTTGGGAAATTTGGTCATGTATGTGCTGTATGTTTATAGAAAGTTGATTTTTTTTTTTATATACTAAGGAAAAAAAAACACGCAGTGAGTGCCGTGCTATGCTAGTTAACA